AAATTCTCGCGAGTACGGTCCGCGGGCAGGGCCTTCATTTCGCGAGCTGTTGCCCCATTTCTGCAGCCTTCTTTCCGCGCGGCGAAAAATCCCGCGAGGCGCGCCTGGCACTCGCGACCACGCAGGAGCACCCGTGACCTCGCAAGGTACACACGAGAGTCAACATGGTCAACATTCAAACCCTAGCTCTTTCTCTCTCTTGTAATCGTGCAGCTCCCCCATCTCTCTCTACTCTCATCTCATCGCCGCCCTCAGCTCCCCCATCTCCGACGGCTGACGACCGGCGACCTTTCCCCCGACCACGTTCAACCTCCGACGACCCGAATTCCGACATACGACGCGAGTCTCCGCGATTTACCAGCGTTTCGAGCTCCACCTCTTCTCTGACCGACCATCTCAGCGAATCCGAGCTTCCTTCTACACTCAGCGGCCATGCTGTCGTCACCCGCCACCGACGGCGACGCGATAGAAAACCCTCGCTCCCAACTCCGACCTCGCCGTGTCCGCGACCACCGACGCCCTCAAGCTCTTTCCTCCCAATCGCAGCGGCGAGCTCCTAGCTCCGTTCACGCGACCATTTCCGGCGAGTTCTAGTTCCCAGCGACGACGATCTCTACACTCCGCCCACCTCAGTCCGATTTCAGCGACTTCAAGCCTCCAGTGACCTCGGTGTTTCAATTCTACCTCAGCCCCGAACTTTTTCGAGCTCAGCTGCAAGCTCGAGTTCTGGCAGCTTCGACCATCAACCGACAGCCCTCGTTAGAGCTCTACCTTCGATTTCTGACGGGCTGAGGCTTTCCACTTCTGGCCAAAAACTCGAGCACCGACCACTCCTCTGCTCCTCATTTCTTCGATGACTGAGCTGTCCATTTTTCCCGTGATTTTTGCTCATTCTCTGATAGAAGGTATATTGGCTACATCCTAACTTATTCGTTTCAATTGGTGTTGATTTGGAGTTGGGATTCGTTGAATTGTTTGACGTGGAGTTGAATTGGCTATTGGGATATTGTGATATTGTGTATTGGAGATTGTGGTCGTTGTGGAGACACGTCTTGCAGGACGTGACAAATTTGTCTACAGGTACACTCTAAACGCAAGTTCTATTCGAACTATGCCTCCGAAAAAGAGACAAGCCGCACCTAAACACAAACGAGGCACGGCTAATGAGGGGATATCGAGTGCCCCAATGGAGAATGTTACGGAGGAGAATGTTACGGAGGATGTCTTGCTGTGCCAAATCGGTCCCGAAGCCATTGCCGACACCAAAAATGTGTCATTGGTAAGGAGGGAGCCTTTCCTCGTAACCGGGCACCTCGAGGACAATCTTTTCAATAAACTACGAGACGAGAAGGTCGGACCTCCCCGATATATTGACTACGAAGTTCTCACGGACCTTAAAATTTTTAGCGGGGTCAAACGCTATTTAAAGAACCTCAACTTGTTGAAGTTTGTATCCCTTCGAGCCGACGCCTACGTGACACTTTGTTGGGAGTTCTACACAACGTTCAAACTCGAAGAGAAGGAAACTATTGTGCGGTGTCGATTGGATAGCAAGCCGGTGGAGATAGATCAAGCATTGATGAAAGAGCTTTTCGGGTTCACCTTTGAGGGGCCGACTTCCGTGCCAAAGGAGTTTGACTTGGCGGCCGCTTGGATGGAAATTTCGGGACTCCCGTACTTGAAGTTCATCGATGGTGTTACCGGTCACATCAAAGATCCCGCTCTCGCGATCGTGCACAAGTTTATTTGCCACAACATTTTCGGCAAGAAGGATGGACAAAAGGTGAGCACGGACGACATTTTTATCCTTTGGTGTGCGGTGCACGGCAAACCCGTGAATTTGGGCGCGTATGTTTTGAAGAAAATGGCCCAAATTGTCAAAGTCAAGCGCTTCAAGCCGGTATTTGGCCATATGATTACGATCTTCGGTGAGTATTTTGGAGCCACATAAGGTGGGGAATTCATGAAAAAACGGCCGATCACGTCACGTGAGTTAGTCCAAGCGGATCTCGCCATTAGCCGCTACGAGGTCAAACCACATCATACCCGAAAATGTGTTGAAGTCTATATCGAACGAGTGAAAGTCTACAAAAAGGGCAAAGCCGCTACAAGCGCCGAACGCATTGATCGAGAAGTGCTCCTCCCCTCCGAACCTTAACAAAGAACCGAGCCACAAGAGCCGAACCCCGACCAACCGACCGATGTCCCCGAAGGCCAACCCAACTTCGATGAGATACACCAACCGATGGAGCAACCCGACACTTCCTCTACTCCTCAATGCCCCCAACTTCCGACCGAGCCCTCCGCGACCACCGCCTACGAGGCAAACCCGTGGACCGGGATAGCCACACAATTGGCGAGCCTTGACCTCCGTATGATGAGTCGTTTGGATGGGATGTGGAAGTATATGCGCGCAATGGACAACCGTTTAGACGGGATGAGCTCCGAGATTATCACCATTCGAGGCGATGTGCACACGATGAAGGACCACATTGTATCGTTGGACGCACGCCTCCAACAATACGAGCAAGAGAGGGCCGTCGGGCCAAGTTCTTCCATTCCACCGGACGAGACGCCAATGGACACACGGTGATTATTCACCATGTTGAGTAAGCACTTCTTTTTCTTTATTTTTCTTTTTCTCTTTGTTTTCTTTTTATTTGTCTATGTGTTTTGTTTTTTTTTTTCTTTTCTAGCTATGTGTTTTAGTTGCTTTTCTTTTCTTTATTTTCGTTATTGTCGTATGTTTGAACGTGCATAATTATTTGTTCTTTCCGTATACTTGTTGGTTAAGCAATGAGGTCATTGCTTTGTTTTAAGTGTGGGGAGGATTTTTAGTGATTGTGCATGCTTAGACGTTTGTTGTGTCTTGGACCGGTTTTGTTTATGTGTTTTTTGTGTGTTTTTGGTGTCACTTCCCCGTCATGATGCTCAATGTGCGTTCAAAAGCTTAAAATGGTTAAGTGGTGAGATAAGTATGTTAAGTGGAGTCATTGTTAACTTTTATGCTTTAAGGAACTTGATGATTTGGATGGTACTATTGAATTGAATGATAATTTGATAAACGTGGGACCCTCATGTGAATTCACGGAATTGTTTTGTCCCTTGTGGTTCTCGATTGATTGACTTGAGATAAGTTACCTTATACTCGATATCATTGTAAATGTGTTATGCTATTCATTCATAGTGCATCTTGATCAATTGTGCGATTATGCGATTACATTGATGATGTACGTTTGTGCCACTCCCCTCGAAAAAAAAAAAAAAAAAAAAAAAAGCATTGTCTAGGAAACCTCGTTCGGAAAAAGAAGCTCACGGAAAAAAAAAAAGAGAGAAATAGCAAAAACAAGCAAATAAGAAAATGGAGTTGGCTTATTCGGTCTTGTTTATCATACTCTACATTTTGAGTAGACCGCATTTAGCTTTTTGCACGTGTATGTAGAAAAAAGGAAGTTTAGATCGAGAAAATCATGTGTAGGATGACTTGGGGCGGGTTTTTGTTTTGTATGGATTCATATTGTGGGGAACATGTTTTCAAATTTGAGTTTGATTCCATGGATTACCGGATGAAAATGAGAGTCTCATTTTCGCATGATTGTTAACTTTGAACCGTTCGATATTTCTTTTCGAATTGCTTGCTATTTTGTTTGCTTGAGGACAAGCAAAGAGCTAAGTGTGGGGGAGTTGTTTGTTATGTTTTTGTGTGTTTTTTCTTGTGTTTTATTTGCTTGAGTTGAGTCGTTTTAGGTTTGATTTGTGTGTCCCGGTCCATTTTTATTAGTTTTTAGTACTTTTTAGTTTTTAGTCGTGTTCGTATATTTTCCTATCTCTTTTGTGCGTTTTGGTGTTTTTGTAGGTTCGAAAGGAAGATGTAGTCATTTCGTGATGTGCCGTCTTGAGAATTAATTCATTTGGTGTGCCTTCCATGTCGAGGAGGAAAAGATTTGAGGAGCGTGAGTCAAAGTTTCGAGTCGATCGGAGGCCCGTGGAATTAATTAGAGCTTTTCAAAGTCGAGCCATAGCCCATTTTCAATTTGAAGATTCGAGCCCTCAAAATCCCTTTCAGTCGCGAGTTCCAGCTACAACATGCCTTGCCCGCGAGTTTCTGATTTTGAGCCCTCGAAATTGCTCTAGCCCGCGAGTTCTCTCCATGCACGTCCAGCCCGCGAGTTCCAACATTCGAGCCCTCGAAACCTTTTTCAGTCGCGAGTCCATGCGCCACACATCTTTGCCAGCGAATTTTAGTTGCGAAATTCATGATGCAACTCGCAAGTTGCCTGTAGCTCGCGAGTGTTTTTTTTAATGTGTGTGTTAGTGTGTGTTTTTGCTACTTAGTATAAATACATTTTGGTCCTTTGTATTTGGAACATCTAGATTTCATTTGTCACTTTTCCCACTTTGGGAATAGCTATTTTCCTTTTAGTTTTCTCTCTTCTCTCTCTTGGGAGCTCTATGACATCATTTTCCGGCGAATTTTCCGGCGACTCTTATTTTGTTCAAGTTCCGAGCTTTTGACTCCGATTTTCATCTAGCACGCAATAGAAGATTGGGTATTTACTTTTAAAGCTCATTACTTCAATTTTTGCCCCGTTTCTACTTATAATGTTTATCAAGGTGATTTTGGGTGTTTGCTTGATGATGGAGGGAATGTTTGGACTTGGTCATTGCTCTTGCTTGTTCTAGTAGGGATTAATTACTTGTCTATCTAGATTAAGGGTTAAGACTTTATTTAGAGCTTAATCACTTAGGTTAGAAGGTTAGGATTCGTGACCTAGTGCTTAGAACTTGCAAATTGTTCGTCATTGAGTTCGTTTGATGTTGATGGTTTAGAGACTCCGGTGGTGTTAATTGCTTTATTCTCTAGTTCAATTGTTGCTTTATATTCTGAGTTCGATTAGCATTAATTCACTCTCAAACCCATTGGTTAGCATGTTTAGCTTTTATTTTCTCATTTTGTGTGATTTGGACAATTGAGTGGTAAGCGAAGCTCCGAACCGTCTTCCTTTGAGAACGACTCGAGGTCGGGTAGCTCGGTTACCAACTACCCTCAAAATACTACAAAACATCCATGCCTTAGAGACCAAGGCACGGTCGATCCTCTCCTTGACTCCGGCCCTCTCTCACATGCAGGGTGAACCTTCGTATCCAGCGTCGATTAACTCACAATCCACCACTGCCTGAGAAAAGTCTAAGATCTCCACCGAGCGGTCCGACTGGCTACCAATGCGCTCATCGAGATGAAGAAAGATGTTGAAATTACCCTAATCATCCATGGTGATCCCTCCATGCTCTTAGCAATCTTACGCATGGTGTCCCATAGATCATAGCGACTAACCCTCGCACAACTGGCATAGAACAGGGTGTAGAAGATCAGTTCAGGGAGATGGGCAACAGAGAGCTCAACGTGTAGGACCTGCTCTGTGTCACAGATGAACCAACAGGTAAAGTCCCGCGAATGGAAGAACCAAATCTTGTTAGAGATGTTTCCCACGCCAAAGTGGAAACCGAGGTGGTGAGAATACAAGTTAAAGGATGGGTTATGGGTCATGGATTTAGGAAAGCAGCAAAGTTCAGACTATGGTCACGAACGAGGGATCGGATGTGAGCAAGTGTGGCCCTATTAGCTAGGCCACGGGCATTCCAGGTTAGTGACGTGACTGACATATCAAATGTCAGTGGTGCCACCTAACTGGATCTACCCGTGGCTAGGCTGAGTCTGTCTATCTCAGAGGGGTAAGGCTCGGTTGCCCGAGCGTCGTGTGGTCCTAGATCTGGTCTGAGGGCGACGGTGGTCTGGGCTCGCAGAGAGGATGTCCTCTAGAGATCTGGTCCTAGGATGAACTGGGCTCTTAGGGGGGCAATCCTCCAGAGGAGGCGACTGGGGCTCTCCCGAACCAGCACGAGCATGGTCCAGTCAGGGGGAGGTGTGGGCCCCTCCTCCTAGAGGGGGGCTGGGTCGCTAGGCAGGGTCGCGAGGTCCCCGACTGTGGGCATAATGGTGGCACTGGTCGTGGGCACAACCAAATGCTCACTCTCGGAAGATAGGCCAGGGGAAGCTATAGTCCCGGCTAAGGGGGTGTAGGCGGGAGAAAACCCCGAATCCTGCAGGTCCTCCATAGATATGAAGGGGTCGCGGGCGTGGAAGCTGGAGGCAACGGTCGCTAGAGGGACAGACGTACCTATCTCGCCATCCAAAAGGTCATCATCATCAAAGGGAGAAATGATCATGTCACGTGGGGGACTGGAGGTAGAAGCATACTAAAAGCCACGTGGGCCTTCTGGTGGGACTGGTAAGGGAACAACCCCGTGGCTCTGGACTTTGGCCTGTCCAAAGCAACTCCCTTGGGACGGTTAGGCTGGGGAGCTTTCCCGACCTGGTGTGGGGCCTCAATGATAGCCTTACCCTTGTCCTTTTGTCCCTTCAGGGACTCAGGCGTACGGGCAGGGGCCTTACCCTTCCCCTTTGGGTCCCCCTGAGAAGATGAAGAGCCCGGTCTAGCCGTGCGGCGGCATGGGGGAAGTGACGGTCGGGGCTTGGTGCCCTTGGTGTAGCAGCTCGACGCAACGTGACCCACATGGTCACAGAGCGTACAAAAAGGTGGAACTCTCTCATAAACCACCTTTTGGACAGTGATTCTTCCTCCCTGGTTGAGCTCAATCTCCTCGATGAGCTCACCATGGAGGTCTATCTCGACGCACACACGTGCGACGGATAACCTCGAGCGGTTGGCTGTGGGGGCATCAACTTGGATCGGCTTGCCAATACAACTGGCAATCGAGGAGAGCATAGTGGGGTCAAAGAGATGAGGCATAAGGCCTGAGAGACAGCACCAGACTGGGACAATGGATGACTCAGTCAATGTGAAGAGGTTGGGGGTGTACTTGAACACTCATCCAAAGCACCCACAGACGTTCACATACGTCTTGATTAAAACCGCGTCATAATCCTCTCTCGACTCAAAGAACACAAGGTAGTGGTTGAAATTTAAGAACTTAGGGGTGAGTCTACCCTTAAAACCCATCTTGCCTAATCCAACAGATAAGTCTTGGAGGGAGGGGACGGAGAAAGAGAACTTCAAAATAAGTGGATTATCAAACGGTCCGACTAGGGAAGAAACAACGGGCTCAGGGATACTAACCGTAAACCTACCTGTCTCTGATCGTGTGATAGTACCCAGTTGGTTGTCCCGAAAAGGCTCAAGTGATAGTCCCTCGTGTCCCGACTTTCCGACGAGGTTGCCGGAGATCACATCCCGGAATGAACGTGGGCCGGCGGGGGGCGGAGGTACCGTCGAAGTGGTCAGAATAAAAGGGTCCACAATGTTGCCCTTTCGGAGTTGTCTTGTCGCAGTAGCAATGGGTGGTTGAATCATTTCGACGGTTGCCGGAATGGAGGTGCCCGACGGTGGGGTGGGGCCGCGACCAAACAGTTCGGTCGACGAGATGAGTGCTCCGGTGACTTGGGGGCCAATCATGGGGTGGCCGGCTCCAGTGCCGGTGAAGGATTTTTCGGCCGGGGCCGTAACAGTGGTGGTGGCCACCGGCAGACTGGAGGTGGACGGTCCTGGAAGGAGCCCCGCAGTTTGGTGGTAGGCAAATTGGGTTGTGGGGTGATTTGGTTTTGTAGGTGGGTGAATTGGGCTGGGAGTGATGAGTGAAAGGCTGCCCAAAATGAAGCTGTTTAAGATTGGGTGTCGATTTGGGCCTGGAGAGTGCCCCAAAAGTGTTAGAAATGTCTTAGGTTTGGCTGGGGGCAGGGTTAGTATTTAATATTACGCCGCCATATGTGAGTTTGGGATTGGTCAAGGGGTTGACCTTCTGGGGAAGAGCAGAACGCGTCACCGGCGGCAGGGAACCAAAAAGTAGTGGCGCCGGAGGAGCTCCATTGCCGGTGACTGTGGCATTGGTATCGATCGGAGCCTTGCTTGAGTTGTCCAAAGTCGATGAGGGCGGGACCATGTTCTTGGACATTTTTCTAGGTTGTCAGGAAGATAGTGACAAGTCCTTACCGGCGGCAGAGGCGGCTCCGACGGCAGCCATGGCCACTGAGGGTGAGACGGGGATTTCCCCTTCTTCCAACTGGGCTGTGGTTCTTCCTGCTAAAAAGGTCACTCAGGACTCGCTTGAGATCTGGATGGGAGAGGAGGTCGACCAAATCCGACAGGGAGAGGGTGGTCGGAGAAGGTGCCGGAGGGGCCGCAGGGGAGGGCAGAGGAGGAAGCATGTGGCTAGAAAAAGAAGAGGGGAAAAGGAGGATAGAAGAAGACGGCCCGGTGGCCGGGGCAAGCCGCCACCGGTGGCGGCCGACGAAGGCTGCTAGGTGTAGGTGGTGGTCGGAGAAAGAAGGAGGGGAAGGAGGGCAGATCTGGGGAATTTGAATTCTAGAGAGAGAAAGCTAGTGAGAAGGGAGAGCATCTGTGTATTCTTTGAGGAGGAGAAATTAGCTCTTTTTCTCTCTTTTAATTTTTTGTTGGGAAATTAGCTCTTTTTCTCTTTTTAATTTATGTTATGGTTTGGAGGTCCAAGACTTGATATTTTTTGGAGACTTTTCCGGTGACCTTATTCTTATCCAAAATTCGACCTTCACGCATTATTTTCGTCTGAGCTTGCGATAGGAGGGTAAGTACCTTGATTAGGGCTTATTACTTCGAGCTTGTGTTTTGGCCGAAATCTTGTGTCGATGCTCGATTTAGGACTTTGTTTTATTTTTCTTGCGTGCTTGAATGTTACGAGTTAAATTTGTGCCTATCTTGTTATAAAAATCTCGAATTTGTTAAAGTGTGATTAGTTAGTTAAGAAGGATCGATTTATCTACCTAGGATCTTATTGCTAGCATGTTTCTCTTCGTTTATTTTCATTTTCGTCAAGTCAAGGAGACTCCGTGCAACCAAAGTTCTAATCTTTTCTCTAAAAATCTCATCTTTCTTTAATTGCTTTCATTTGTGTAGTTTAATGTAGTTCAAATCAACCCCTAATCAAGCGAGTAGCATGTTTAGGACCCTATTTTCGGTTTTGTGAATTGACGACTTGATAGTAAATGAAGCTCCAAACAACCTTGCTTCGAGAAGACGACCCAAGGTCGAAATTTATTCCGTACTCGACTATAAAACTACAAACAGAGGCCGACCGGATTCGCCACTATCCAATGCCGATTTTTGAGAGAAAATTAGGCTACACATTTTTTTTGTACATTTTTGTTGTTATTTATTTATTTTTAAGTGTTTTATTTTTATTCTTTTTATTTTCTCTCAGACTTTTCCCGGTCCATTTAGTTGTTTGTGTTTGTTTTTGTGTTTTGTTATCGTTTTGGTGTCTTGTGCTTTATATTTCTATCTTTTATTTGTAGGAAAAATGAGGTCCGAAAGTCATTGAAAAATCTAGCGAAAGGTGTCGGAAATTTCTCCGGAACGAGCATGAATGATCCCAAAAATATCCTAGCGCCCGATGAGCTCAAGCTGAGCACCAAGCAGTGAGCTGAGCTCTGGCTAACCACACACGCCACACTGTCTGCCCAACATCGCCAAGATCACCCCACATTCCCCCGCATAGACCCGCGCACTCACGACCAGCGAACACAGTCGTCGGGTCGCGAGTGCTTTTCTCGCCCAGCGAACCTTGTTTTTAGGTCGCGAGCGCCACCCATCGCCGAGTACGCTAGCTCTTTGCTTAGAGGAAAGCCTTGCCAGCATGCAAGTGCCTACTCCCATGTTGCATTTATAATATACATTATGTCTTTATTTAGTTATTTAGTGTCTTTTTTTTAAAAAAAAAAATGTGTACTCATTTTTCATGTATTTTTGTTGAGGTTGTAATATGTTATTTTATTCTTTTTTATATTAGTGCATGTTATTGTTGAAAAAAAAAAATACATTAGGAGCTCATTTGTTTTATATTTTATTTTTTTCCCGCACACAAACAACACACACACACATCACCAGGCACGCACACATTAACACACGACCCCCTCCCATCCCCATCAATCTTTTCTCCAGTGGCCGACCCAGCGCCACCCACAACCACCGCCCCGACCCGACCAACCCGACTTCTGCTTCTCCACCATCAAAACGACAGCGTCAACGCCATTTTCACCACCAAGGACGTCCTCTTCGACGCCCTAAACTACACCATATACAGAAATTTGATAAACTATAGGGACTCGATTGCAAATTCATGAATGTTGATTATATTTCAATTTAGTTCCTGGGTCAAATCTATCTTTAGAAAATTAATAAATATATTTTAATGTTAAAATAAAATGCACAATATATTGTGTATATGTACATTAAATATAACTGCGATGTGAGCGCGCAATGGTATAGGACGAAATGTACATTAATGACTGGCAAACCGCACAATAGTGACCGAAATCGAGTGAACAAAATTTTTTATTTGAATATTTCTATGTCGGTTCTATATCTGCTTTTAATTTAAAATTCTGATTATCACGATTAGATGTCAGTTTTATAATTTAAAATAACCAAAGCGACTGATCTATATAGAAAGTATTATTTTATATGTAGTCTTTTCAATCAAAAAAAAAATATAAAATATTAAATATTAAATATTTTCATAATATTCATAATAAATCATTTTTATTGTTTGTATTAATTTGGTTCACCTTGAATTCCTCACCAAGGAGTGAGAAGCCGGTCAAGACTAGTTCTGAAAAAGCTCTAATAGGACGAGGTTCGATATAATTGACCAAAAGTTGATCTTACGCAAATTGGAAGCTATGTTCTCCTCCTTCTTCTGGGAATGTGATCGCCCCTCAATCTTTAAAGCGGAGATTCTTACTGAAGATAGGTCTGTGAAAGAAAGCGCTGCTGAAGAGGGATCTACTTGAATATTGAATTTCCCAATTATTTCAGTTTGGTATTAAGTTATTTTGAATAAATTATTAAAAGTGAGTCAGTTAAGAGTGCACATTATTGTTTTTTCATCCGAGGTTGAAAAATCTAATAGATATGAGAGTTCTTCATTTGGTGGACTTGTGAACCAAGGTTGATTTTGAATTTGTGGTAAAGACTAAAATCTAGAAATATTTTATTCTTGGAGGAAGTATATATGCCCCGTCGCCAAGCTGCCTAGGGTTTTCTTCAATAACGACAGGAATTTAATTAATCAATATTTCCCTTGGAGCTGCTCTTGCTACGCGCATGTTGGTGTCGAGTTGATGCTCGATTTTTTCAAGATGCAAAACTCGTCTTGCGTCCATGACTTGGCAAACTGTCAAAACACGTAAAACCAATTCATTCACCCAAAGACTGCTTTTTCCATAGATTTACAAGAGCACCCAATATATAGATACAAATGAAGCCCTAAAATAGTATATACACCAAATCTCTAAGATACTAAAATCTCTATATACCAAAAATATAATATTCACAAAATCATTCTAACATCCCTCCTCAAGTTGGAGCATGCGGATTCCGGATGCCCAACTTGCCAAGAAAAAAATCAAACTCGCGTTTTCCCAAAGCCTTGGTGAAGATGTCCGCCAATTGAGAATGAGTGGAAACATGAACGGTAGAAATAAGACCTTGAACAAGAGCATCACGAAGAAAATGACAGTCAACTTCAATGTGCTTGGTGCGCTCATGAAAGACATGATTAGCGGCAATGTGTAGCGCCGCTTGACTATCACAATGAATCCGCATCGACTGAGAATGAGCCACACCAAGACTGCGAAGTAAACCCCGTAACCATTTCAACTCGCAAGTAAGTGTCGCCATAGCACGATACTCAGCCTCGGCAGAAGAGCGAGCAACTGTGTGCTGCTTTCTAGTACGCCATGATATTGGAGAATGGCCAAGTTGTACGAACCAACCAGTGAGAGACCGTCGAGTAGTAGGGTATGTTGCCCATCAGAGTCACACCAACCATAGACCTGTAAGTCACAATCAGACCGAAGAAGAATACCCTGGCCTGGAGTACCCTTCAAATAACGTACCACACGAGTGGCAGCATCCCAGTGTGCCTGACTAGGCTGATGCATAAACTGAGAGAGCATGTGCACAACATAAGACAAGTCGGGACGAGTGACAGCTAAATAAATCAAACGACCCACTAGCCGCCGATATCGCTCAGGATCAGAGAACAACGGACCATCGGCTAATGGAAGCTAGTGATTCTTCTCCATAGGAAAATCAGCAGGCTTGCTGCCAAGTAAGCCAGCTTCGGCAACTATGTCAAGAGTGGATTTCCGCTGACATAGAAATATGCCAGAGGAATTCCGAGCAACCTCGATGCCCAAAAAATATTTCAAGACTCCCAAGTCCTTCATATGAAAACAACAACCCAAGTACTCCTTAAAGGTAGTAATAGCAGTCGGATCGCTTCTAGAAACGATGAGGTCATCGACATAAACCAAGACATGCAAGTACATAGAATCTTGATGTAGAGTAAAAAGTGAGTAATCAGAATAAGACTGCTCAAAACCATAATGTTTAAGAGCAGTAGCAAGCTTTGCAAACCAACAACGAGGAGCTTGCTTTAAACCATATAGAGATCGGCGTAATTGACACACCTTACCAGGATCAGGCGAATGAAAACCAGGAGGTAGTTTCATGTAGACCTCTTCAGATAGATCCCCATGCAAGAACGCATTGTGCACGTCCATTTGATGAACCTCCCAATGCCGAGCAGCTGCAACAGCAAGAAAAGTCCGTACAGTAACCATCTTGGCGACAGGTGCAAATGTCTCTTGATAGTCAATGCCCTCCACCTGCCGGTTACCCAAGACAACCAAACGCGCCTTGTAGCGCTCAACCGAACCATTAGAGTTATGTTTAATCTTATAAATCCACTTGCAACCAATCGCGTGTTTCCCTGCAGGAAGAGGAACAATATCCCACGTACGGTTCGATTCAAATGCTCGAATCTCTAGTTGCATAGCTAAACGCCAGCGACTATCTCGAACAGCCTCAGAATAGGATTGAGGCTCAACAGCAGAAGAAATGGCTGCCAGAAATGACTGATGTGTAGGTGAAAATGAATCACAAGAAACATAGTGTGCGAAAGGGTAAAGAGTACCAGATGATGACGCGATGGGGAAGGCAGAGTGGGGGGGCGAGGAAAAAATACTGTGAGAGACAAAGTCGGCAAGACGGAAAGAGGGCCTCTTGAGACGATGACCACGACCCAACACTTCCTCTTGGGGAGGATTACCCCCTCTATTGACAATGACCTCAGAACCCCCAGTAGCAGCAGTACGCATTGTAGTGGGAACCACCACATCATCATCGTCGTCAGAAATAATAGGCCATGGAACCACGGGTATGGAGGCAGTATCAAGAGCAGAAGATGTCAAATAAGGGAACTCTGATTCACAGAATTTCACATCACGTGAGACCAAAAAAATGCGGTTGTCCAAATCATAAACGCACCACCCCTTTTGACTAGATGGATAGCCAACAAAGACACATCGACGACTCCGACTTGCAAACTTGTCACCATCCCTTTTCTGATTGTGCACGTAACACAGACAACCAAAAACACGTAAATGCGCATAGTTGGGAGGTTCGCCATACAAAAGTTCATAGGGAGTCTTGCCGGATAAAAGAGGAGTAGGCGTTCGATTAATCAAATAGCCAACAGCAAGTACACAATGTCCCCAGAACTCAATAGGTAAATGGGCCTGAAAGCGTAATGCTCGAGCAACATTAAGAATATGTTGATGTTTGCGCTTAGCACGTCCATTTTGTTGAGGAGTTCCGACACAAGAAGTTTCATGAACAATCCCTTGTTGACGAAAATAATAGCGCATACGAGTAAAATCAATTCCATTGTCACTGCGAAGAGTTTTAACCAATACACCAAATTGCCTTTTTACAAAAGCAAAAAATTGCAGTAGAGTAGAAGACACCGAAGATTTGTCATCCAATAAGAAAATCCAAGTACCTCGAGAATAGTCGTCAACAATAGTAAAAAAATATCGAGCACCACTAAAGGCAGGAACTCTATAAGGTCCCCACATATCACAATGAATCAGACTGAAAATGGAACTGCTAATACTGCGACTAAGAGGAAAGCTAGCACGAGTTTGCTTTGCCCGACAGCAAACATCACAAGCTTTATTCGAGACCAAGGAGGGAGACTCGACAAAAGGCAGTTGACCAAGAACAGTAGAAGATGGATGACCCATCCGCTGGTGCCACAAGTGGTCCATAACCGAAGACACCCGAGAAGCATTGGCACTGATCGGCCCTCGGAAAAAATAGAGTCCCCCCAACTGCTCACCCGCTCCAATCACCGTCCTCGAAGTGAGATCCTGAATAACACAACATTTACTAGTGAAGGTAGCAGCACAACCAGATTGTTCCAACAACCGAGATAAAGATATCAAGCTACACTGAAGACTGTCAACGAACAAACATCATATAAAATAATACGAGAACTGAGATGAACAGTTCTAGCTTTACACGCAGTAGTGAGCGTGCCATTAGGTAACTGCACAGACCGAGACGGAATATCCCGAACATCATAAAAAAATTCCAAGTAGCCCGTCATATGATGTGAAGCACCACTATCATACATCCACTCATAAGGACTACGCTTACCGGACAAAGGAGTGCCGTTGCAGGCAGAAGTGACGAGGTTTACAATAGACTCCCATTGGGCATCCGTCAACCCATAAATAGCTGCCCGATCGGAGTCCGTCAATGAGGATGTTGGCCCGCCATGTATGGACCCAGAGGTATTAAGTGTAGTCCTGTTCTCGAAGGCGGCTTTGACAAGGCCAGCAGCGGTTGGTCCGTCATCGCGTCTGCCACGACCAACTCGTCCCCCGACGTAAGTAGCGATTCTCTTATAACCTAATTTCCTCATAGATTTTTTTATTTTTTTTTAATCGCGATCAACTCTCGCAAAAATCCAAAATCAAACAATTTTTTTTTTCTATCCGCGATCTCTCACGGCAAAACTGAACTCAAAAAATAAAACTTTTTTTTTAATAAACGAATGGCTGCAACTAAAAACCCTCAACAAATTCGAAAAAAAAAATATAAAAAATTAACCAGTCTCTGATACCATGTCAAAACACGTGAAACCAATTCATTCACCCAAAGACTACTTTTTCCATTGATTTACAAGAGCACCCAATATATAGATACAAATGAAGCCCTAAAATAATATATACACCAAATCTCTAAGATACTAAAATCTATATATATATATCAAAAATATAATATTCACAAAATCATTATAACACAAACTACATTAAGTCATTATCCTGTCCGTCTTGAAGAGCCAATGAGCTCCCCATGCTGTGGCTGGTTCAGTAGCCTCGACACCTCGGCCAGAAGCTGCTCTCGGCAACTTGTTAGCCCGAACTGGCTGCTGCCCTTTTCCTCCGAAGTAGTGTAGAGGCTGAGGAAGCCGGCTTCAACTTTGACGTCCGGCCTCGGGTCCTGAGGGTCGAGATCGAAAGCCTCGTAGCTTGCTTTCACGAATTCACCGTAACGAATGATCTCGTCACGGAGAAGAGGGTGCAAGGGTGAAACAAGGTTTTCCCAGTTGTTGAGCCCTTGAATTTCTCTCCAGCCACTTGCTATATCTAGTTTGGGCTTGGGCACAGCCTGAGCCTGAGGAGGTTGCAAGTAATTATGGTAGGCGGATGATAATGACCTAGTTTTGGACAACAAAGGATAATTAATTGATTTATGGAGGATGGGTCCAGGTTCTGCTGTGTGACTGTAGAACAGTAAGTACTCATCATTTTATGATGAGTTTTAGGGACACAACAATGAAGAGTGCTGCCATGAAATTTTTTTTCTCATGTACTTACATCTAATGTAACTAGGATAAGCCCATTATATATATATGGACCATATAGATAAACGCGCTTGTTGAAATGCTAATATATCACGTTTAATTCATTGCAAAATATATAAGAAAAAAAGCAAAACTAAAAAGGCTAACAACTGGCTTTCATGAGATTAATTAAGGTACTATTAGTATTAGTAGGGGCATATATACTTCCTCTAAGAATAAAATATTTCTAGATTTTAGTCTTTCCCACAAATTGAAAGTACACTTCAACCTAGGTTCACAAGTCCACCAAATGAAGAACTCCCATATCTATTAGATTTTTGAAAACCTATTCGTTCACACTTATTCCTTATTTTAATAATATAATATTTCACTATAGTAATATATTGAACTCTCCAATTAGCTCCAAATTACAGATAATTCGCTCTCAAAATTTAATTGATCAAATTACATCCTTATGTTTACGATGTAGTTTTGTAATTGTTTTATAAAAATATAGTAAGAAAAAATTAACTATAAAATTTAATATTATAAAATTACAAAACATTTTTGTTCATGACATAATTATAATTAACAGTTTTTTTATTATATTTTTATTGAACAATTATAAAATTCCAATTACTACAGGCTCCTTCAAAGATGAGTATTCATAAAAAAAAGCCCATGAACATGAATTATGATAGCTTTGTAGTGACAAAAGTTTGTTTGGTCGAGCTCCTTATCAACCGTAGCTCGAACCAACCATTGACTCTATATATGTTGAACAGTTTTTTACTATAGTCAACAGTTTTTTTACTAATATAGGGAGTGGATCCAATGAGACCACTCCTTAAAATGAGTACGTAAGACTCAATCTTAGCCACTCATTTTGTCTAGATCAAGGATTTATGTTAATCAATTAAAATATACATTAATTAAATAATAAAATTAATTATTAGTTGACCCCGGCATTGACTATTGACTCCATCGTTGACCGTTGACTTCCGACGTTGACCCGTTGACCATAATATGTATTGTGTATGAAGTAAATATGGTGAGGCAAAGTTAGTGTAAATATGTTGCAAAGTTATTGTAAAAATGTTGCAGGGTTAGTTGTTTATATTTGCAATGTTAGTTGTATTCAGTTTGCAAGGTTAGTTGTCTTTAGTTGCAATGTTAGTTATGTCTAGTTGCAAGGTTAGTTATGTCTAGTTGCAATAGTAGTTTTCTTTAGTTGTAAGGTTAGTTGTCTGTAGTTGCAAAGTTAGTTCTATTTTGTTGCAGGGTTAGTTGTTTTTATTTGCAATGTTTAGTTGTATTCAGTTTGCAAGTATGTAGTTGCAAGGTTAGTTATCTTTAGTTGAAAGGTCAGTTGTCTTTGGTTGCAAGGTTAGTTGTGTTTAGTTGCAAGGTTAGTTGTGTTTGGTTGCAAGGTTAGTTATCTTTAGTTCCAAGGTTAGTTCTGTCTAGTTGCAATGTTAATTTTCTCTAGTTGCAAGATTAGTTGTCTGTAGTTGCAAAGTTAGTTCTATCTTGTTGCAGGGTTAGTTGTTTTTATTTGCAATATTTAGATGTATTCAGTTTGCAAGGTTAGTTCTCTTTGCGGTTGCAAGGTTAGCTGTCTTTAGTTGCAAGGTTAGTTGTCTTTAATTATTCTTTCATACATGATGCATACTAAGGTCAACGGGTCAACGCCGGAAGTCAACGGTCAACGCCGGAAGTCAACGGTCAACACCAGAAGTCAATGGTCAACGCCGGAAGGCAACAGTCAACGCCAGAGTCAACGGTCAATGGTCATAATAATATGTAAATAATTGAAAATAAAGAATTAAATAATAAAAATAAAGAATTATTATTTAAATCAAGATCTAAATCTTGTGGCTAGGAATGAGTCTCACGTCCTCACTTTAAATAAGCGGATGCATTGGAACCAATCCCTATATATATATAATATATGAAATAAAAATTATAAATACTAAATATATTTTTTATAATATAAAAATTTTGAAAGAAAAATTATTAAAGTTTGCTAAAATTGAAGTGCACAGAAAAATAAGTTCGATAGACTACACAATAATGATAGACTAAATCACTAGTGTCTATGGGATAATTATAATTAACATTTTTTAGTCATGATATATATATAATCATATATTATATTATTGTTTGTAAAGCCAAAATTATTCCTTCACTAAGGGTAATTTTGTATTTTTCAACACCAAAACAATGGGACCCACGCCACCACACAACCAGTTGCCCACTTACCCACCTGCCACCTCACCTATGTCTCTCTCTCCCTCACACATACACGCCACATCACCCACTAGCACACACAAACACACGACCACACACACACAACACACGCACACACACTCCCACCCGCCTACACACACCTGCACACACAACACCTTCCACATCTCAACAGAAAAAAATAAAAGAAAAAAAAAACTTCACAGCTCGTCGCAACACCAGGCTGTTGCCGTCCACACGCCGGTGATCGCCACGCTGTCTCCGTACGCGCGCCGTCCATCACAACAGATGCCATCGTCGTCCACACACCGTCCATCATGCCATAACCATCGTCTTCCTCGCGTCGCTGCCGACCTCCATATATCGGCCGTCCGCCACCGTCCAACCCCCGGCACATGATAGCCCGACTCTCGCAGAATACCGCCGACTTCATATACCGACGACTTCGGCGCAACCGCACGACCACCGGGTCTCGCTCGCCGCCGGAAGAGGTCGAGCTCAATTTTGCCGCCTCTAACCTGCCATCTCCGACATCCTCATCCACCGCCAAAGATCCGTCGCACACCAGCCATCGTCGATCCATTGTCCTTCTACACCTCGCAGATTAAGTTGTGACTTACAAGCTCGTTCGCCATTAATGGCGGACGGAAAAAAACCGTCGTAGACAATGTCGGCGATCGATGGCTTATTTGAAGATATTGTTGAGGGCATGATTTGCAATTTTATAAACCTTGAGTATTTTTCATTTTATTTAATGGGCAAATGTGTAATTTATAGCACCATTTTTATAAATGATTATTAATGATAAATAAATTGTACAATGTTTAAAAATTTTAATATGTAAAATTTTAATATTATGAAAAAGTAAAATAATAAATATATTTTTATAAAATTAAATAATAAATTATTTCAATTAATTCAATAATAAATATGTACAATTATACATACTAAATCAAGTTTTTAAAAAATCATATTTTATATGTAATTACATAAATTAGTGCACTTTTATCGACACGCTGCACTGTATAAAACAAGACGGTGCACTTTATAAAACAACACGTTGCACTTTACAGAAACTACAGTACTTCACTATATATTTCAAGCACTTTATCACAACTATCGGGTTGCACAATAGAGATCGAAATCAACCGAACCCAAAATATTTCAACCAAATATAACATAAAAATACTAAATAAAATTATTAACATATTAAATATAATTTTAATATATATAGAAAATTATTTCGATTATTTTAGGATGATTCGGTTAACCGAACCAAATAAATCAATAAATTATGTTCATTCTCAATTTGATCTGGGACAAAAAATTCGGTTGGTTCAATATGCACAATACAGACCGACAATGTGCATCATAGTGTTGAACGAATTGCACTTTAATATCGGTTAGATTGCACACAATATATTTTACATACATACATACTAATTTTTTTAATAAGTAAATAATATAAATAGCAAATAAATAAATATTAATGATAATCATGTTTTTTATAATTAATAAATTATTATTATTATTATTATTATTATTATTATTATTATTATTAATTATTAAATAAAAATGTTTAAATATTAATTATAGTTGATTAATTACAAATTGGGCCCATGGCTTAAATTGTAATATATTAAAATTGTTGATATTGCAAAAGAGTCCCTCAAACTTGTTAAATTTTCAAAAAATAAGCCCTTGAGTTGAACATCTCAATCCACTGCATCCCTTCTCGCCGCTGCCGGTGATACCTCGACTCTGCCAGTCGTACTCATCCTCGTCGCCGGTGATGCGGCAGCGGCTCTTAGAGCTCCGTTGCGTTTCGTTTTCTCCGAGGAAGCCGCGGGTCAGGTAGTTGCAGGGCAAGTCAGTCTGACAGCTACCCGTTGTGACTGTTCTGGACGACGTCGAAGTCGAGTGACATGGTGGTGCTGCCACGGATGTCGGTCTGCTCCACCACCGTACAGCCGGAGGAGGTCGCAGTTGTATGAAGCAGCTTCCATGGTGGGCTGGTCGCTAAGTTGACGGCGGAGGGAGGAGGCAGACTGCGGGCGGAGACTGGCTGCTATCGGAGGCCGGCTGCAGTCGGAGTCCGGTGGCGTAGGACGGTCGGTAGCTGTGGTGGCGGTCGCGGGTGGATTCTGGCGGTGGTAGGTGAGTGGTGGTGACTGTGTGTGTCTGTGTGTGGACTTGTGTGCGTGAGTTAAAAAAAAATAAATAAATAAATCTTTTATGTTTGTGTAATTGTGTGTGTGAGAGAAGGGAGGGGAAGAGTTAGTGGTGGGGCCCACTTAATTATGGTGAAAATTGAAATTACACAAGTTCCCTTTGAGATGTTCAATTGACCATGAAATATACATATATTTATAATTATGTCAATGAAAAACACATTTAAACGGAATATTTTCATTATGCCATTAGAATATCCATTGGAGTTTCTATTGGAATATATTACCATAGGATTTCTTGTTGGAATATACAAATTTTTTTATAGTGTTAGTTTATTTTCGTTGCGATTCACCTCGTACGTACTGTATAGCGAACCGAATTAATTGTGTATCTGATTGACGACCTAGGGTTGGAAGTTCAAACATTTGACCAGCTAGCTTGTAAAGGTGAATTGGCGCAGTTCCCTCAACCAAAATACATTGATGACGTATGTAATTAATTACAGTGTTCCAAAGTGGACGATCAAATGAAATTAGCTAGTAATAAAAATAATTAAAGAATGATTTGGTTTAGTGTTTTGTACATATGTATAAAGATGATGAAAGATCACGTCCACTGGGCATGAACCATATTCAACATATTAGTGGCTGCATTTGTCAACTGCGAACATGGCCCCTCAACGAATCGTTTGGACTTTTTCAACAAATTATTTGTCCCTCCAATGCGATCCATCTTGTAGAATTGTGACTTTCCAGCCCATTTAAGGCTTTTTATATATATACAGGTTGGGGGTCTGGCCTAAACCCCCACCCTCCGGAGTGGTTTCAAAAAAAAAAAAAAAAAAACTTTCTCCTCATCAAAAATAGTCCACTATGTTATCATTTCGTCAATTTTAGTACATTAATCTCGAAGGGCCGGATTACGTGATGATGTGGAGAAGAATTGAAACGACGTGTATGGATAGGACTTGGACATGGAATGATTACAATTTTCCACGTCAACACGTAATCCAGCCCCTCGGGATTACTGTACTAAAATTGATGAAAATTGTAACATAGTTGACTATTTTGGAAGAGGAGAAAGTTGGTGTACTAAAACTGGACAATGACCAACTTAGAGGACTAAAATTGAATTTTTGCCGCCTTTAAACACCAAAATTTCTTATTAGAATGTGTAGCCTAATTTTTCAAGTTTGACCAATTAATTGTGCAACTGATTGACGACATAGGGTCGGAAGTTCAAATATTTGACCAAAATAATTAGTTGTAAAGGTGAATAGGCGCAGTTCCCTCAACCAAAGTACATTGATGATGTATGTAATTAATTATATACAGTGTTCCAATGTGGAGGATCAAATCAATGAAATTAGCTAGTAATAAAAAATAATTAAAGAATGATTTGGTTTAGTGTTTTGTACATATGTATAAAGATGATGAAAGATCATGCCCACTGCGCGTGAACCATATTCAACATATTAGTGGCTGCATTTGTCAACTGCGAACATGGCCCCTCAACGAATCGTGTGGACTTTTTCGACAAATTCTTTTTGGGTGACGGAGACGGACAGGATAATGACTTAATGTAGTTTGCCAAGTCATGAACGCAAGACGGGTTTTGCATCTTGAAAAAATCGAGCACCAACTCGACACCAACATGCGCGTAGCAAGAGCAGCTCCAAGGTAATTGATTAAAATTCATCATGTCGTTATTGAAGAAAATCCCTGGCAGCTTGGTGACGGGGTCTTTGGCATTCACTACTCTGAGCACTTTGACTCCCAACTCTTGGCACCTCTCTTTGAACCTCGAGTTCCCAACTCTGGGCCCCCCAAAGGAGAAAACCGTGATGGGAGCCTTAAATGGCCTGTTCAAGCCGAGCTCCGCTATGTCGTAAGCTAGGAGAAGAGCCAATGAGCTCCCCATGCTGTGGCCGGCAAGAGTAATGCTTATCTCCTCGTCTTTGTGCTTGTTCAGTAGCCTCGACACCTCGGCCAGAAGCTGCTCTCGGCAACTTGTTAGCCCGAACTTGTTTTCGTCCGAAGTAGTGTAGAGGCTGAGGAAGCCGGCTTCCACTTTGACGTCCGGCCTCGGGTCGTGAGGGTTGAGGCGAGCAGGGGTCAAGGAAGTATTTAGATTGGCAATCCATTCGGCATTGGTGACGGTGCCACGGAATGCGATGACGATGTCACGTCTGCCGAGCCTGCTCACAGACTCATCGTCCGAGGCTGCCACGTACCCGACCCATCTGCTGGGCCCACTTTGAGTCGTAGTACTCATTGGTGGGGCTGTTGCGTATATGTATTTAGTGACCCCGTAGCCCGAATCACCCAACCCCACTTGCTGCAACAGGCTATGCTTGCCGTGCTTGCAGTTCAAGTACCTTTTCGAGTTGGGGTCGAGATCGAAAGCCTCATAGCTTGCTTTCACCAATTCACCGTAACGAATGATCTCGTCACGGAGAAGAGGGTGCAAGGGTGAAACAAGGTTTTCCCAGTTGTTGAGCCCTTGAATTTCTCTCCAGCCATTTGCTATATTATCTAGTTTGGGCTTGGGCACAGCCTGAGCCTGAGGATCTTGCAAGTAATTATGGTAGGCGGATGATAGTGAGCTAGTTTTGGACAGCAAAGGATAATTAATTGATTTATGGAGGATGGGTTTTGCAGGTTCAGCTGTGATTGTAGAACAGTAAGTATTCATCATTTTATGATGAGTTTTAGGGACACAACACTGAAGAGTGGCTGCCATGAAAATATTTTTATCAGATGTAATGTAACTGGGATAAGCTCATTATATATATATATGGACCATATAGATAAACGTGTTGAAATGCTAATTTATCACGTTTAATTCATTGCAAAATATATAAGAAAAAAAAAAAGCGAAACTAAACAGGCTAACAACTGGCTTTCATGAGATTAAGGTACTATTAGTATTAGAAAGGGCATATTTCCTCTAAGAATAAAATATTTCTAGATTTTAGTCTTCACCACAAATTCCTCTAAGAATATCTCCGTATGAGAACACTACAGTGCCCTTACTATCGTTTTTTGTTTTAAAGTCAGTAGCTCAGTGCTAGACATCACTAGGGATATGCCGAGATCGGATAAAAATAAAAAGTTAAATTACAAATATGGAATCAACTAGTGCGTAGCCCGTGCAACGCACGGGATGATATATTTTTCTGAAATATTTAACGTGTGAAATATTAAAAATAATATAATTTATATATATGTAACAAAAATAAATGGATTGCAAAGAAGGGAAAAAAATATAAATTATTGAACACTTTCTTTGTGAAGTAAAATTTGTGAAGTTTTGATATATTTGATTATGAATAGAAAAGTATGAAATACTATCTGCGGACCGTTGAGATAGATGAGAAGATTTACTTGAAATATATAGAATAAATATTGAGATAATGATTTACCTTTTACCTAGTATATATAAAATAAATATTGACATGATGTGGGAAAATTATGACGAATTATGACATAAATTCGTTTAGAAGTTAGTAGAAAATATTCAAAAATTAGATTTATTTTTTATTTTTTAAATCCTTACAGTAATTCGTACGCTCCTTTTCATACGCTTAATTTATCAATTTTACACATACAAATCAAAATTAATGCAACTCGAAATATTATATAACAAATAAAATGAAATTTTTTATCTAACATTTAGTATATTGCCGGAAAATCTTTTATAAATCTTATTCTCTTTTTATGCACATAGGTATTAAAGAATGAGTAAAAAAATTATCTAAATATGTTTAAAAGTATCTAATATTATATGTGTTAACAATGTTACAACCAAAAGACATTAAGAATACGTACACTATTATATAATATATGTGAAAGTATTAAAATATTTTATATTATTATTGAAAAATGTGAAATTACCTCAATTTTGTCTAGACTATTTTATTAGAAAAATATATATACTTAAAGTTAGCATACACTCATATATATATCCTTAAAATTTTCCCAACTAACATGTTTAAAAGTATACACAATTTTATATATAAAAACACGTTTAAAGTTTACATATTTTACAAAAATTAGACTGCTCTCAGTTTATATAAAGTTTGTTGCTCTCATATTCGGATAATCGTATTATGCATTTAATGAAAGCACCCTACGATACAAATTTATAAATATTAATTAAAATAATTTTCTAAATTATATAAAATTGAAATAACAAAGGTAAATATTACCTGTTCATCATGAAACAGTATATGAAATGCATAACAGCTCTCCCGTTCGTGATGGGTTTCAATAATGCGGAGTGCTCTCAGACGCAAAAAAGGTTTGTAAACAGTATATGAATGCATCTCTCCCGTTCGTGATGGGTTTCAATAATGCGGAGTGTTATCAGACGCAAAAAAGGTTTGTTTCTTTTGTTAACGGAATCAAGTGTACCCAGCCTGGAAGCGTATATGCGATAAAAAATTATTCTCTGTATTGTAATGGTGGTAGTGAATATCCTTTTATACAATTTTTTATTAACCAAAAGTCATAAGATAATTATGGATTGTATTTGGATAGATAGTAAGTCCCATGATGTTTGCAACGGACAATCAATTTCACATATTTTTTATTAACCAAAAGTGATAAGATAATTATGGATTGTATTTGGATAGATAGTAAGTCCCATGATTTTTGCAATGGACAATCAATTTCACATGCTTAATTAACGGAAATATCACCATTATTAAGGAGAATATCCATTTGCTTAATTAACGCAAATTTCATGCTTAATTATCGAAATATCCACTGCCTTTTCACGATTTTTCTTCCGATTTTAAAGTAGAATACAAAAATAGAAAGTCAAAAATCAACTCAATTATTTTTAGTTTTCTAAAAAAGGATTTTTACATCAACCTTTTTAGATATATATAGATATGTAATACAATCTACCAATATTAATTTGTTGAATATGTTATATGAATTTTAAATTGTGCAAAATTACATAAAACGTGTCTATTTAAAATTAGTACATGACTCGTATGGTGCAAGTAACTAATAATAAATTACATTATATTCATTTTAAAATAGGTATTATTTTAAAATTTTTATTCAGAAATTCAACTCGACTACAATGTGATTTGGCATGGGTTGATAGATTGTAATGGTACAATTGGGTATCTCAATTTTCTTTTTGTTATGGTTGTTAAGATGCGTGGATGATGTAGTTCATTTAAATAGATTGATCGATTTACATAAATATATATACCAAATAATTTGATATGTTCCACGGACATTTACAAAGAAGTATCGATCATAATTTTCTCCAAATTTTTCTAAGTATCGATCATAGTATTCTCCAGATTTTTCTTTCATTAATATAGAGTAAAATGCTTAACAATATGAAAAAAGAAATATTGATAAATATATAGTATAACAAATAATTTGATTTCATACATTATCGATAAAATACAAAAAATGATATTCAATTTTACCACGGATGTAATTGCCCAGCGTACAATACAAAATCGAGACCCACGTTTTTTATATATATAAAAAAAGACTCAAAAAATAGTTATTAAAAAATAATTAAATAGAAATTTTCATTAACACAATTATTTTGGAATACTTATAAATGAATAAATCCACCGAATTTACATGATCTCCGTAATTAAGGTATCGTAAAAATGTAAATTTTTATGGTCTAATTATTTCCTTAATTATCCACGATTTGATTAATTCAATTAAATACAGAAAAAATTAATAACATTTATTACGTAATATTTAAATTAATATTGTCATTAACACTATTTTATAGAACATATTTTTGCAAATCGCATAATGGTTATTGTTGTCAATATTTCCATAATTGTAGTAAATATTTGCAGGTTGAATAAATCCGTCAGATTTATAAAATTTGCGTAATTAAGGTATATGAAAAATGCATTTCACAAAAGAATTATACGAAAAATATAAAACACTTATGAAATTATAAATTACACAATTTAGTTGAAAATTTTTTACTAAATCACATAATTGATATTGCAGCCGATATTTCTATATTTGGATAAATCAGACAAATTCACATGATTTGATTAATTAAGGTATCTTAAAAATAATTTTTTTATGGCATCTTAAAAATGATTTTTTTATGGTTTAATTATTTCCTTAAGAATAAAATTTTTCCAAACTTTAGCCAATAAAATATTTCCAAACAATAGTCTTCGCCAGCAATTCACAGTGCTACTTCTACCTTGGTTCACATGTCCACCTAATAAAGAACTCCCATATATATTTAGATTTTTCAAAAAAAAATAAAAAAATAAATAAAATAAGTATATGACAGACAAACAAAGTTAACTGAACAAGTGCAAATTAAGTATTCGATAAAATATGCCACGGAAAGACAAAGAAAATTGAGTAAATGTGAAATAAATATGAGGTAAACTATGCGACACAAAAACAAAGATAACTGACTAAGTGCAAAATAATTTCTCTTAGTAGAAGCATACTTTCCTTAAGAATAAAATATTTCCAAACTTTAGTCTTCACCAAACTTTAGTCTTTACCACAAATTCAAAGTACTACTTCAATGTTAACTCACAATTCTACCAAATGAAAAACTCCTATATCTGTTTAGAATTTCTTGGACTAATCAGATGGCGGTCTCTTCTACCTTCTTACACATGTTTTTACATTTTTCAAGTCTCTCATCAATATTCAGATTTTTTTGTAAGACAAAGACCGTGTTTCAGTCGAAAATGTTAGTTTCATGAGAGAAGCATGGGCTGTAGCAGCCGCACGCGGCCTGCCGAAGTTATCTGCTTACAATTCCCAATATTCTTATATTAGACGAAGGTCCCGCACCATTGTAGTGCTGGCTACTCTCGAGATGATGGAAACTCCTACAAAGGTCGACTTCTCGGGAATTCTGTACTAGAACCACATGAAGGAGATTTTCAACATTTTGAATCTGCAAAGTTTCTAAGAACGGAAATCCCGAAAATTTATAATTTTATAATTATTAAATCATAAAAATAGTAATTGTTTTTATAATTTTGAAATTACCTAATAAAAAGTATAGTAAATTAACTAAAAAAATTAATATTATAAAATTAAAATTTACTAGAAAATTTAATATTATAAAATTAAAAAAATAAGTTTATTCATGACATAATTATAGTGAACATTTTTTACTATATTCTTTATTGAATAATTATAAAATTACAAAAAAAAAATCATCATGAATAAAAAATGTTAATTATAATTATCTAATGAATAAAACTATTTTTTAAAAGAATCTAAAATGATACCTATTAAAAATAACACATCACAAAATAAAAGTAAATAAAAATATTTTCTAATTTTATTTTAATATATTGTATCCTTATTCATTATTTAAATTGTTTATAGGTATTCATAATTAATAATTACATATATTCATAATCTTGTCTTACATCATTTGATGCCATCATATATATTCATCATTGTCGCCGCTCGAAAATCCCTAATCCCATCGCCGCTTTTCTGTGATTTTTTCAATCGTCTTCCCCGGTTGGGCCGGTGAGCACACGGTGGTAGTTCCCCTGGCCTTCGCGGCCCTTTTCTGTGAAGATGCGCTGATCGGAGGGTGCTTTTTCGCCGGGGAGGAGGTCGCGCAGCTTTTCCGGTTCTCGCCTCGGAACTGGCAGCTAGTGGCGGGCGGCTATTCCTCCTCCGGTATCTCCGCCGCGGCGGCCTCGGGTGCTCTTCCAGGAGAGGGCTGCGGCCCCGAATTCGGGT